AAAAAAAACCCAAAAGGCAAAAAAAAAAAAAAAATTAATTTTTATATGAATTTTTAACGTAACCGGAAAAACCGTTGAAACCGTTTTTCTTTTTCTTTTTTATTTACATCGTAAAAAATTCAAACAATACGAACAACAACAAAAATAGAAATATTGATAATAATAATAATAAAAATTACGGGACTTTGTTTTTGTTATGGTTGTTGTTTTTTTTTTTCGGGAAAACAAACGATAATAATAATAAAACAATCGGAATTTGATAAAATAAACTTAAAATAATAAAAAAATTTTTTTCTTTTTTTTAAAAAAAAAAACCGTTATTTGAAAACGAAAGAGAAAAAACAAAAAAAGAACAAATATGGCGTTCTTTAAAGCCTTTTAAACATTTTTTTTTTTTTTTTTAAACTTACAAAATCGATATTTGCATGAAAAATAAAATTATTACCAAAAAAAAAATTATTATTATTATTTTTTTTTTGATTAAGCCGGAATACAAAAAAAACGAAAAATATGTGTGCCGTCTTATTAAATAATTAATTATGTAATTTTTAAGATGGCAATTATAACTGTTTATCATTATTATTAATTATTATTATTATTATTATTATTATTATTTATTTATTTACTTATTTATTTTTTTATTTATTTACTTACGACCGAAAAAAAAAAAAAGAAAACATACAATATTTATTATTATTATTTTTTTTTCAAATTATTATTATTATTATTTGTTTTTTTTTTAATTTTGTAGGTGTCTAAACAAAACAAACGATGATAAGAAAAAATGATAACGATTTCTTATTATTATTATTATTATTTTTTTTACTTATTTAAATTTACTACGCACACACAGAAAAAACAAACTACGGGGTAAATCCACAACAACATTAATAATGATAAAAACAGGAAAATATTGTTTAAATTTTTTTTTTATTCCCGGTTTTTTTTTTTTTTTTTGGTAGTTATCCCCCATCCCGGTTCATCCCCTCGTCCGTTTCCCGTAGAAAAAATGGCACTAGTACATAAGAATTCGTCAATAAATAATTTTGTATGACCTTTTATATACGATTATATTAAAACGTGGAGTGTTAGGATTTCGATTAATGCATTACACACATCACACTACAAATCACTCACATAAAAAATTTAGATAAAAGTTTTGAGTACGGACAAACAAACAAACAAACGAACAAACAAACAAACAAACGAACAAACACAAACACACAAGAGGAATAATCGGGTTACGTATGACGATAATTTGCGCAACCATAATTTTGTTTGTTTTTATTTTCTCCAGGAAAAAAGATTTATAAAAAAAAAAAAAAACGAGCGCTGTAGATCTCTTCCAGTTAAAATCCCTAATTATTTTTCTATTATCGATAAAAAAAAAATGAACGTTAATTATAAGGAATTATTATTATTATCATTAAATGATTTTTTTTTTTTACCGTAAAGAAAATATATATATATATATATATATATATATATATATATATTATATCGTGGATTTTTTTTTTCTCCAGTCACTGGCCACGTTCCAGGTCCGCATTGCAGTTTCTTATCACTTAAAAAAAAAAAAAAAACTAAAGCCACCTAACTTTTAATATTTATGTTTTTGTGTGTGTATTTTCTCAAAATGGAGGAAAAATAAACAAAACGAAAAATAATTTTTTTGCGTTTTAAATTTTTTTTTAAATTTTATTAAATTTCAAGGGGAGAGAGGAGGGGAGGGGTGAGTTTTCCAGCCTTCCATATTTATGCAAAAACAAAATTATGGTTTCGTTTTAAAAATGATTTTCAATTTTAAATGCGAATATTTAAAATAAAATATATTTTCCATTATTATTATTATTATTATTATTAACGGGGTAGAATTATTTTTTTGG